CATCGTAATTTTCGTCATTATCTACTACCTCGAAGACTTTCCTAAAAACGTCAGCAGATTTGTTAGACAAGATTTTCCCTTAAACCCATGTTGAGTCGTAGATTAATTTGCTTTTTTCAGATGCAATCGATGCTATCTGCTATAATTGATTCAAGAAATTTTCCCACTACAGACGTCAAACTGATCGGTCGGTAATTTGCTGATGCTCTGTCTCCCTTTTTGAATATGGGTACTATGCCTGTTTCCACAAGTCTGGCACAACTCCGTGTCTAATGATTTTGTAACAGATTTAGGGTCCGCTAATCTGTCCCTACACTTTTCAAGACTCGAGGGAAATTTCATCCGGCCCTGGGGATTTTGTCTTCTTTAGTTTATTTATCCTCTTTTCTGATAGTGATATTCTTTAATTTCTCTTCTTCTTTCCCTTAAATATCAGTTCCACCTCTGGAATTTCATCACAAATTTTTATGTGAAACTGATAAAGTAGCTGTTCAATGCTTTGCTTATTTCTTCACTGCCATTTTATCATTCTCCCTGACTTTAAAGGCCCAACTTGTCCTTGACCTTGTCCTATATACCTGAAAATCCTTGGGATTCGCCTTGGATTCTCTTGCTATTTTGATTTCATAGTCTCTCTTTGCTTTCCTTACATTTTTCTTAACATTCCTAGATAGTTCATTATACCCATTTCTGAGCTGCTCCTCCGTCCCTGGGTAAGGTTTGGTTAGGATAGGGTGAGTTGGGTAAAGGATAGTTTAGGTTACATTGGGTTGGGTTGGGTTGGGTTGGGTTATATTTAAGTTAGGTTAGGTCAGGTTAGGTTAGGATAATCTTAAAGTAAACAAACTGTAGTGAGGTCATCTTACTTGAGGTGAACCAACACTCAGAAAAATACTAAAATTGCCTCCATATCTCCAAGAGACAGTGTAGGTGTACCCCAGAGCGAGGGTCTCTTGTAGCTTTTAACCCATCCCACCTGGTGTTAATGACCTGAAGGCACCAAGATTGTTCTTTAAGTATTCTCTCTCTCTACCTATACTAATGTACAATTATCCAATACTATTTTATTTACTTATTAATACATGCATACACATACAGTATACTCAAGAGGTCAGTGACATTGCCTGTATCGAGGTATAAATATAGTGATGTGACGTCACAACTCATCAAACAGACACTGATTGGTTGATAGTGTCACAACTCAATACCAAACAGACACTGATTGGTTGATGGTCCGGAGGAGATATGACGTCAACGGCTCAAGTATTAAAATGGACAAATGATTGGTCGATCACTGTCTGTATCGGGAAAAGGAGGCGGAGCTATGACGTCACGGTTAAGATGCCAGAAAGACCCCCAAATATAAGATTAATTCAGTCTTTTCATCTCTTACACAGAAGGACAAAGACTTAAGAGTGACTTAGAGTTTCATAAATGTAAAATAATAAAACAAATAAATAAAAGTACATCTATTGTATAACGATGTATTTACCTTTACAATACAAATAAATAAATTCCATAATCGTTCATTGAGAGAGAGAGAGAGAGAGAGAGAGAGAGAGAGAGAGAGAGAGCAGTAAATTGTGTAAAATTGAACCATTTTCCTCACTTAACGTCAGGTAATGTTACTGATACTAGGTGTGCACTGATACAAGGTGTGTTACTAATACCAGGTGTGTTTACTAATACCAGGTGTGTATTAATACCAGGTGTGTTACTAATACCAGGTGTGTTACTAATACCAGGTGTGTTACTAATAATTGGTGTAACTGATACAAGTGTTACTGATACCTAGTGTTACTAATACCAGGTGTGTTACTAATACCAGGTGTGTTACTAACAGGTGTGTTACTACCAGGTGTGTTACTAATACCAGGTGTGTTACTGATACCAGGTGTGTTACTAATACCAGGTGTGTTACTAATACCAGGTGTGTTACTGATACCAGGTGTTACTATCAGGTGTTACTAATACCAGGTGTGTTACAGGTGTTTACTAATACCAGGTGTGTTACTAATACCAGGTGTGTTACTAATACCAGGTGTGTTACTAATACCAGGTGTGTTACTAATACCAGGTGTGTTACTGATACCAGGTGTTCACTAATACCAGGTGTGTAACTGATACCAGGTGTGTTACTGATACCAGGTGTGTTACATACCAGGTGTGTTACTAATACACAGGTGTGTTACTAATACCAGGTGTGTTACTAATACCAGGTGTGTTACTAATACCAGGTGTGTTACTGATACCAGGTGTGTTACTGAATACCGGTGTGTTACTGATACCAGTGTGTTACTAATACCAGGTGTGTTACTAATACCAGGTGTGTTACTGATACCAGGTGTGTTACTAATACCAGGTGTGTTACTGATACCAGGTGTGTTACTAATACCAGGTGTGTTACTGATACCAGGTGTGTTACTAATACCAGGTGTGTTACTGATACCAGGTGTGTTACTGATACCAGGTGTTACTAATACCAGGTGTGTTACTGATACCAGGTGTGTTACTGATACCAGGTGTGTTACTAATACCGGTGTGTTACTAATACCAGGTGTGTTAGTGATACCAGGTGTGTTACTAATACCAGGTGTGTTACTAATACCAGGTGTGTTACTAATACCAGGTGTGTTACTCATACCAGGTGTGTTACTAATACCAGGTGTGTTACTGATACCAGGTGTGTTACTGATACCAGGTGTGTTACTGTCTATACCAGGTGTGTTACTATTACCAGGTGTGTTACTAATACCAGGTGTGTTAT